ACCATGCCCAGCTTATTTTTTGATTTATTGTAGAGACGAGGTCTCACCAAGTTGCCCAGGCTGGTCTTGAACCCCTGAGCTCAGGCAATCCTCTCGCCTTGGTCTCCCAAAGAGCTGGGATTACAGGTTTGAGCCATCACGCCCAACCTAAGCTGTTATTAAAAAGAATGATGGCCAAGCTGGGTGGCTCAGCCTGTAATCCCAACACTTTGGGAGGCCGAGGCGAGTGGATTGCATGAGCCCATTGGTTCAAGACCAGCCCAAGGAACTTGGCAAGACTTCGTCTCTACAACAAAAATAAAAAATTAGCCAGGCTTGGTAGCGTGCACCTGTAGTTCTGGCTACTTGGAAGGCTGAGGCAGAAGGATCACCAGAGCCCAGCAGGTCTACGCTAGGGTTGCGGTGAGTATGCCACTGCACTCCAGCCTGAGCGACAGAATGAGACTCCAACTCAAAAAGAAAATGCAACCCATATAATATTTATATATAATTTCTTCAAAACTGGACGAGGTGTGTTGGCTCATTCCTGTAATCCCATTATATTGAGAGATCAAGGAGGTAGGATCTCTTTAATCCAGGAGTTCAAAACCAACCTGGACAACATAGTAAGACAAGAAAGAAAGAGAAAGAGAGAGAAAAAAAAAAGAAAGAAAAGCTGATGTAAGAAATTGAGATTTTGCCGGGCTCGGTGGCTCAGCCTGTAATTCCACGCTTTGGAAGGCTGAGGTGAGTGGATTGCCTGAGCCCGTGGGTTCGAGACCCGCTTGGGCAACTTGGTGAGACCTCATCTCTACAATAAATAAAAAATTAGTCGGGCATGGTAGTGTGTGCCTGTAGTTCCAGCTACTGGAAGGCTGAGGCGGAAGGATCGCCGGAGCCCAGCAGGTTGAGTCTGCGGTGGCTGGGAGCGGCCACTGCACTCCAGTCTGGGCGACAGAGTGAGACTCCAACTCAAATAAATAAATAAATAAATAAATAAACAGATTTTAAAATTTATTTCCCACAACTATAAGATAGTCTACTTTTTTTTTTGAGTCAGAGTCTCACTATGTAATTTTTGAGTCAGAGTCTCACTATGTTGCCCAGGCTGGAGTGCAGTGGCATGCTTACAGTCACTGCAGACTCGACCTGCTGGGATGAGACGATTCTTCTGCCTCAGCCTTTCAAGTAGCTGGAACTATAGGCATGCGCCACCACGCCTGGCTAATTTTTTGGTTTATTATAGAGACAAGGGCTTGCCAAGTTGCCCAGGTTGGTCTCCAACCTGTGGACTCAGGCAATCTTCTCACCTCTGCCTCTCAAGTGTTGGGATTACAGGCATGAGCCAATGTTCCTGACCGACAGTCTACATTTCTTTCTGGTTATCATTACAATAATTATTAGTAAGTTGGGTGCAGTGGTTCAGGCCTGTAATCCCAGCACTTTGGGAGGCAGAGGTGAGAGGATTGCCTGAGCTCACGGGTTCAAGATCAGCCTGGGCAACATGACAAGACCTCGTCTCTACAATAAATAAAAAAATGTAAAGTCCAAACATATGGACTTTGCAGCAACTTGGATGGATTTAGAGTCTATCATACTCAATGATCTATCACAGAAACAAAGAACAGAGTACCATATGTTCTCACTGATAAGCGGACCTTGAATGATTATCATAATACCATAAGAAAGGGATTGGCAGTAGTGGGAAACTGCCTCAGGGGGGAGGAGGCAGTGGGGAGGTGTTGGCGGTAGTGGGAAACTGCCGGGGGCACATCTCATCAACAAGGGTACCTGCATAATGAACATTTGTATACCTAACCCTGAATTGTACCCCATCTTTAAAAAATAAAAATAATAGCCAGGCATGGTGGTATATGTCTGTAGTTCCAGCTACTTGGAAAGCTGAAGTGGAAGAATCGCTTGAGCCCAGCAGGTCAAGGCTGTGGTGGCCATGAGCATGACATTGCACTACAGTCTGGGCAACAAAGAGTGAGACTCCAACTTAAAAAACTAAAATAAGCCGGGTTCAGTGGCTCAGCCTATAATCCTAGCGCTTTGGGAGACTGAGGTGAGTGAATTGCCTGAGCCCGCGGGTTCGAGACCCACCTGGGCAACTTGGAGAGACCTCATCTCTACAATAAAATCAAAAATTAGCCGGGCATGATAGCGCACGCCTGTAGTTCCAGCTACCTGGAAGGCTGAGACAGAAGGATCGCCGGAGCCCAGCAAGTCAAGGCTGCAGTGGCCG